ATTTACGGAAGTTGGATGATTTAAATTATTAGGAAATCAATTAAAATATTTTAGATTAGCCTACATTGTTTTAAAATAACGATTAGCTTTCTTTTATTTAATTTAAATGAAAATATACAAGCGTGTGCCAAAGTTACTTTGGTGCACGTGTGCGGCAATAATGTCAAATTATCAAGGGCGTAGATAAGGGGGGGGGTAATTACCCCCCCCAAGCCATAGTCAACATCAATATTTTTTTTAATCGTTATATTAAACAAAAATGGAGAGATAAAATAAATACAATAAAACAAAGAGTTTCTCAAACATTGGGGTCTATTCTGTAAAAATTCCTTTATATTTAACGGCCTTTAAAAATATTTTCTTCTTTACTTCTGTCATTATTTAAACGGATCTTTAAAATACATTAGAGTACTATCTTAAAGAAATCTGTTTAAATAATGACAGAAGTAAATTAACGAATACAAATATACTTTTAAAGGCCGTTAAATATAAAGGAATTGTTACAGAATAGACCCCATTGTCATCTAAAATAAATATTCCTGCAAATTGAAAATTAAAATTTATATACAGGGTCCCATTAGTGCGTAATTGTTCAATGTTTCAATTTGTGTTATTGACAAGCAAACAAGTTTTAATAAAAGTTATATGGATTTGAAAAATACATATTTTAAAAATATTTGTGGATATACAGGGTATTGCGTTTTTGTCTGACAAATAAAAATGTATTTTTTAAATAGAAGACCCTATATTTTATTTTTAGAATGGCTTGGGAATACTGTATTTAACCTTAGAATGTTTTATCATAATTTAGGTAGGTTTATATTAATTTCAAAATTGTTTAATATACAGACTATACAGGTGATTCAACTGGTTTATTCTATATAGAGTGTTTTGAAACATGTCTTAAATATGGCTAATTTTAAGTTCAATTTACTCAATTTTTTCAAACGCAACACACTGTGTTAGTCAATAACACATATAAAGGGTGTCCCATCAGTGCATAATTTACCGATAGCTGTTTTATTTATTAGAAATACGAAGAAATGTTTAATATAAAAGTTGTATGACCATATTTGACAAATATTCTTAAATATACAGGGTGGTCCATAAACGAGGTGCTGACCAAATCTATACTTTTTTAAAGCAAAACACCCTGCAGGTATTAATACATATTTGATTGTTTTTACATCGTCAAACAATTTTAATTGATTTCATTCATTTGCTATGTTGTATATAGGGTGTGTTAAAACGTGAGGTTACGATTTTCTCAATTTTTTAAATGGAATACCGTGTATTAATTAATTGGTGGTATGACATATGGGTTATTCCATTTAAAAAAATGAGAAAATCGTTACCGCTCATTTTGAAACACCCTATATACAACATATCTAATAAATGAAGTCTATTAAAGTTGTTTGATGATGTGAAAACAAATATAAAAAATTATGTTTGGTCAGTCCCTCGTTTATGGACCACCCTGTATATTTAAGAATATTTATTAAACATGGTCATACAACTTTTATATTAATTTGTTTTTCCTATTTCCAATAATAAAACAGCTATTGGGACATGTGGTATCGTTGGTGTGATGTACCGGTAATTGGTGTGCATCACTCTGTATATTAGATTTAATTTATTGTTTTCTTTTCCAATTGAAGTATATTTATAAAAAGTGGTTTTACCTATTGGAACGATATTGGTGTGATTTGTAGACACAGTCATGAATAAACTACGGTACTGAAATAGTTGTTTTATTTATATGTATTTGTAACAAATATAATAATCACCTCAAATTAGGTAATATGTTACAGTTGGGTAGGTACATTTATAAGGAATTTTATGCGAAAATAATATACAGTGTGTTGCAGTTGACAAAATTGAGTAAATTGAACTTAAAAGTAGCCATATTTAAGACATGTTTTAAAACACTCTGTATAAAATAAATCAGTTATATCACCTCGGAAATGGAATAGTCTACAAAGATCAACCAGACATATTTATTAATCTTAAGTTTTATGAAGTATAAAGTGTTCAAAAAGTTTTGAATGAAATTGTTTCTTTAGCCCTTCATTCTACGCCAATGGGTTATGGTAATTTATCGAAATAGAGTATGTTAACTAATAATAACAATTATCTATCATATACAGTCTTTACTGTAAGGGAAGATATTTAGAAAATATGTATTTATGAAATTCACTTTATCACCCTGTAGAATGAAAACTGGGATGTTTATAGGAAAATTATATACAAATATCCAAAATTACGCTACTTTATTCTGAAACACCCTGTATAAATATATAAAATATGAAAAACTTCATTATAAAACTCACTCTTTTTTCTGGAAATACACATATGAACTCTAGACGTTGCATTGGTACCATATTCTAATGTAACATGCTGCGCATTCACCAATAATGTGAGAAGTGTTACCTCCCCCCATCCCCAAGAAAACAAACGTCAACTTGCTAGTTAGATTTGAATGTGCAAAAGCCTACTTTCGATACATAGAAACCAGTTACGAAATGTCTTATTTTATGAAATGAGTAAATATTTGTGGGACGAGTAGAGCGAGGTCCCGCAACATGAACGAGTTACATAAAACGGCATTTCGTAACGTGTTACTTCAATATTTTTTCTAATTTTGATTTATTTATAAAATTGTGTTTTGGTAAAAAATAACTAACATCTGACACCTAGGCAACCATTATTACTACTTTCTTGTATTGTTATCATTTTATTGACAGAACATAATTATTTATTCTCAACGACTTGTAGTGTTTATATGGTTTATTAAAGTTATTTAGTTGTCAAAAAAGTAAGTTATTTGGTATTGGGTTTTAATTATTTTGTGCTAATGTGCTGATTTAGATTTAGAATAGAAAATAAGTAGATACCAAAACAACATTACGACGATGTTGTAAGTTTAACCAAATTGTATTTTTATAAGTCAACCTGCCCTTGTATGATATAAACTTTCAATAAAATTGTATATTATTGATTTTAAAATGAAGAAAAGTTTATTTTTATTTGTTTTCTTTTCGCAACTAGTGTTATAATTAATTTTTCGACATTAGGTGAGTTCGGGCTGGGCACTCCAGAGTGGAGTGGAGTAAGTAGGCGTAAACGGAGTGCGCATATGGTTTTACTCCTTTTACTCTCAGGGTTCAATGTCAGTTGTCATTGTGACATACTAATACTTAAAAACTAGTCGTACTTATCAGTAACAACGCTATAAGTTTCTTCTATATTAATGGTATGCACGGGAACCAAATAAAAGGCTTTTTTAATTAAGAGTTAGTCACAATTATCTTATTATCGATTTAAATCACCTTATGCGCATGCCCAATCCACACTCCACTCCACGATCTCCGAACGGTCAAAAAGGAACTTTTATTTTAACTCCTTTCGTTCCCGAACGCTTTAGGTACTTTAGGAGTGAAAATAGTGAAAAGAGTGCGTAGCCCGAACTCACCTATTATGCAACTTGGGTAAAGAAGTTCATTTTGACACTTGCTGCGATTACAAAAACTGTCACTTTATATGTCAAAATTAGAAAAACTAATTTTAAGCGATTTTTCAGTGACAATTTTACGATAATATTTGTTTTTTCAAAAGTTGTCTGGCTACTATTTCTGTTAATTACAATTTTTCATTGATTTGTTTTCACATTGGGGATGTAGGGATGAATTCCTTGATTTCATAGGGGAATTGGAGTTTATATTTGCACACAAACGCATACTTTAGTTTTCGGATCGCTAATCCGTTATTCTCTCCTTTCGTTCTTTCTTTTTCTTCCTTTCTTACTTTTTTCTTTCTTTCTTTTTTTCTTTGTTTTCTTCTTTCTTTCTTTTTTTATATTTACATTTTCGGCAGTTCGTACATGGAAACAGCACTTAGGCATATCTTAAAATTGATTCTAGTACATTGACGACTGTACTAGAAAGATGCAGTCTCGATTCCAGGACAGGACACGCAATTTTTCTTTATTTCTTAACTTTTTCGAAGGGGGAATTCGGGTTTACATTTTCACATTTCCAAAAATGCATACCTACTTTAGTTTTCGGATCTCTAACAGTTATTCTCTCCTTTTTTTTTCCTCTTCATCCTTATGTGTTTTATTATAAAATCCACTCATTAATCGCCCTTATTAATACATTACTTGTTTGTTATAAAATAAAGAAAATAACTTTGTAACTTATTATTCTCTCGCAGCCTTCATCAATATAGGCGATTAAATTTAATGGCTTTGCAGATTTCATTAGAGATTGAAATCGAGATGTCTATTACTTGCTGAAGAGTCCTAATAAGGACGAAATCGGTCTAAAAATAACGTAAATAAGCAAAATCAAAGGTTGATAGTGGGTTACAGAAAAAAAAGATTAAATTTTAAATCCACTAGATTCGAAAATCCTATGATTTTTGTGAATCAAGCATATTTTAATTCAGATCCATTTATTTTGTTGTCATTATTAAAATGTTGATATAATTTTGGATAGTCGACAACAAAATTGATGTAAGGAAGCGTGAAAAGTGCAAGAACCACTGAATTAGATAAGCTAAGTTTACTAAATATTATCAATATATAACTAGGAATAAATAAAAGGTCAAATTTTTTCTATCTAGAAGTCAAGCTTCAAACTTATGTATACAAATGCAATATAATCCTTCAAATATAACATAATCTTAGATAATAAAAACAAAATCTAGAGATAATAAATATTAATGGATTAAATGTATTATCCTGGATTTAAAATGTAATCTTCTTTTATGTAACCCACTGAGAGTTTTGAAAATTATTTTTTATATCTGCTGGTTTTCTTTTGATGTCATTCAATGCCTGGTGAGGTATTAGCTAAATAAGTTATTATCTTTAGCAGAGAAACGGTCACTCTTATTATTCTGACACATGGCTTTTTTTATTTTCTTTATTTTACATCTTTATCACATTTGAGTTTCGAATTATTTCCTTTTTTTATATATTTATAGCTATATTTTTTTAGGATGAAACGAAAGTGGAGGTTCTTAAAGATTGTGATTACGTAGTTTCATTGTTTTCAGTGTCTAACGACTGTATTCGCCCTTGTGGAGCAATCATCAATGCCCAATTAATAGACTTATCGCCCTTGAAAGGCAAATACAATGTGAGTTCGTCACTCGGAAATTTTAGTATTTCCTTATGCGACGTGAACACTGACTGTCCTAATAACGCATATAACGTGTCAAGTTGTCTTATTAAAGGCAATCATATTCTTCCAATTTCATCGGGAAGTGAACTGGTCTCATATAATGGAGATTCTAATGAAATTAAGCTTCATAAAAAATCAAAATGTAAGTAAATGCGTTATAAACTGCTAGGTAATTTTTTTTCAGAAACTGCATGTTGTAATGACCATCACGACATCTATCAAAGTGCCAATCAAATGTTTAACACTGCTTAAGGTAGTTCACTCGTAAAACGGCTTTTCTTAAGAATTCAATAAAATTGAAAAATAAGGTTAATGAAAGTGTCTTTTATGTAAATAAAAAAAATTTAATTTTTTGACCGTCTGTGAAACGAGATATTAACAATCAAAATGTGCATAATTAACACTCTTGAAGCCTCTCATGTACGCAAGTAATGCATTTATTTCCAGATATCTCGAAAACTGTTCTTACCATATTTTTTAAAAACTAATGTAATGTAAATCAAGAAGTTATAAAATTTTCTAAAGAAACGCTGAATTTTTTGACCGTCTTAGTAAAAAGATATAGATTTAAAAAAAAAATATTTTTAAAGCAATTGACGCGTAGTTGCGTAAAATTATTACAACTTGGCAACGTTGTGTACGCTGCAATCAACGCGTTGTACCAAACTAACACTCGATCATCTAAGAGGATGTTATAACCTCGCGACGTTTCCTTAAAAAATTAATTCGTCCACTGTATTTGAGAACTGGAATCAGCGGTTCTGTTTGAACCAAAACAAATCCTTAAAATTAATATGAGGAAGTCACAAATTTCTATAGCAAACCATTCATGTATTTATGAGGTTGCCGATGGATTTTATTAAAATCCATATATATAAGCTTACATGTGTTTTGTACAGTCTCTTACAAAAATAAAATTAATTAGCATTGAGAATCTCGAACTATTGGTATTCACCATTAAGCGATATTTTTATGTACGACTGTCGCGAGTGAACTACCTTAACACTTGTGATAAAAAGAAAAGTTTACCAAATTGAATAGTTGCGGGCTACTTAAATTGATTTTGAATTGTAAATATTTTCTACATGTAGAGATTACATACTTACCTTATTTTTGTTGATTAAAATGACTACAAAATTTAGGACAAGAATTGAAATAAATTTTATTTTGTAAATTCTCCGTCACTGATTTATGATGTTATATTGTGGTTTATCTCCGGTGAAACAAAAATTTTGCTATCATTCATTTTCAAATAAACTATAACGAGAACTCTCTTTTTAGACTTTAATTTTTTTAAAGACAACCATGTGCCCACAACAAGGCTCCAAGACGAATTTTCTAGGGGGCATTGCCTTTAGATATTTCCTTTTGAGCATATTTTTTTGAATAAAAGGCTCCTAAATCGTAAGAATTTTCTTCTTGGGGGGGGGGGGGGGCTCCCTTGGCCTACAAGGAGTTCGAGTTCCTCAACTAGAGAAACAGCTTTTGCCGACGTTGTTAACCACTGTGTCATTTCGCCATTAAAGGATGCACAAAACGGTCTAATGAGGCCTAAGTACAATGTAGCTGATCGTTTTCTCCTAATTATGTTTTATTTTATAGTTGATAAAGGAGAAAAAATATTCGAATTATTCATAAAATGCAATTGGTCCACTAAAATATCCAATTTTCATTATAAAGAAGCAGCCAAGCAAGGTAAAACGTTTAAGTTTGAAATGGAATCTTCATATGGTTGTGTTAAACTGCCTCCAGTTTGTGAAGTACGTATTACGAATTCACAAATTTTGAATTTTGTTACAGACTTATTTTTCAGATACTTGACCAATATTACAAGTATAACATTTCTAAAATCTATAGCAATGTTGGATATGTAAAAGTAGAAAACGTGACAGGTTCAAGAATTATATTATTAAATATTTGTGGCCCGTTAAAACTACCTTATAGTGCTGATAATGTTTGTACAAGTAAGTATTATATAAATTAATGAATCAGGAACATACCACTTTTAGGTTAGCTAATAAAAATTGTTGTTTTAAAAAATGATAACTTTACAAAAGGCAGAACTTTATTTTGTCTTAACAATACAAAAGTTAAAATGTAAAAGCTAGAAAATGCCAGCAACGAACTAGTTTTGTTGTCACTAGATCTTGGTGGGGCTTTATCTTGGACTTACTACGTCTGCATAATTCTACTTGTATTTACTATGATTGTGTTATCATAACTTACCTTTATACCTATAGAGATTAACAAAAATCTGACAGACTTTTTTTAATTATTAAATCATTTTGTTTAATACAACACCTATATTTCTATCCCAGTAATAAAACTATGTTCTCTAGGGTTGACTAGTAGTGAATTTTAGAGATTATTATGACACATTTATGAGAGATTAACAAGTCTTTTCTTTTTTTTAGAGTCATCTTCACAAGTATGTGAAATAAATGGAAATGAATACATTAACAAAGGCAGCATTTATACAAACTTTATACCTTCAGAAGAGAAAATGTCCATGTCATTAATAAGTGAGTGTAAACATTTTTTAATTTCGTTTTAAGTTTATTTACTTATTTATCGGAATTTATTCATTTAGACTCAATTTAAACACGATATTTATTAGGGGTGGCACAAAATTGATCTAATTGGAAATTTGATCGAAAATACATTTTATCGCATGACATTTGATCGAAAATATATTTTATCGAATAACATTTTATCGAAAAGACAATAGATCTGAAATTCATTAAATCGAAAGGACAATATATCGAAAATTAACATTAAAAATATAAAACAATTCAAAGGACACCGTGCCACCGTCCGTCTAATCCCTAATAGCGGGGAAACTTAACTCGGCGGGTTTCGTCAAATTAGGACCTAATGGCAAATTTTTCGATAATCTCAAACGGTAGGCGCCTCATTTAACAAATTTTATCCTTACAATACTGTTTTTTTTTTTTTTTTGTGTCATCGGCGTCGACTACTACGGCCATTAGCCTCGTGTTCTGTGTAGGCTTTGTTACTGTTTCCCAGCGCCACTTTAGGAACAGCACTGTTAATTAGAACCCAACAGTGAATGGTCAATTTTCAAATTAATATTTTCAGAGCTAAACGATTATTTATCTTCATTGAGATTCAAGAATTGCAATTAATTTGCAACTTGACCTTACTAAGGTCAAGTTGCCTGCCGATGGGACATTTTAGGCCTAAAATAAAAAAAAAAAAAAAATCCTGACTAATTTACCTAACCTTTGCGACCTGGAGCCATTTACATTTTACTGATTGCTCTCGCACAGGTAAGGTAGATCAATCGGGTCGGTGGCATAGCGGTCTCACGCGCTTATATTCATTTATAGACAAGTTTGTTTTTAATTAAATTGCATGGTTCGTTATAGGATTTGATGTGTGCTGTATTAATAGAAATTCAGTTTTTGTTATTACATGCAGATTATAAAATCGCCATGCGTTACCGTCTCGATGGTGGGTGAGGTTTTCCGGGTTTTCTTCACCTGTAAGTCAAATGGCACCATCAATCATCTTTAAGTCGCCACGGAGAGCCACGGCAAATAATAATAATAGCCGTCCCTTCCCCCACATAAGTCGCTCAGTCGACTGCAGGGGTTGAAATTCACTCGTAAGGTGGTGAATTAAGGAGATTATTATTATTTTTATTATAATTAGTTTTTTTTATAAAAAACTTAACTAATTTACCTAACATGTGCGGCCCGAAGCCATCAAGGCTTTCTTCGCAAAAAAATTGTACCAAAAAAAGAAAAATAAAAAAATCTTAACTAATTTACCTAACCTGTGCGACTTGGAGCCATTTAAGTTTAACTGATTTCTCTCTCGCAGGTAAGGTAAATTAGTTTTTTTTTATTTCTTTTTAATTTATTGTATATTTCTTGTATATTTTTTTGCGAAGCAACCATGAAGGACTCTAGGCCGCACAGGTTAGGTAAATTAGTTAAGTTTTATTTTTTTTTCTAATTTTATGTATATTTTGTTTTTCTATCAATTTTCTTTTCGATCATTTTTCTTTTTAATCAGTTGTTATTCGATAAAATGGTTTTTCGATAAAATGTTTTTCCGATCAAATGTTTTTGATCAATTTTGTGCCGCCCTTTTATTAGGTTAAACTCATTTATCTACTCCTATTAATTTATATATTAATTATTCAAGTGCTTTTGAGCAATTAATAGTATCAAAAAATAAATATAGTGAGTTATTATAACTCACGCTGGGCTCCTACGATAATTCGGTATATAAATAGTGTGCGCAGTAAATTCTTGGAAATTTAATGTCGATAAATGTTCTATTGGCGTAAAATGTTAAAAAGATTTTTTAACAACTGGAAAGGAATGAATAATAATTAAAAAAAATTTAAAATTATTAAATTGTCAACGCTTCTCAGTAGGTGGAACATTCAATTATTACATTGAGGGGAGTAGTGTCATTTGAAATTTTAACAAGATAATTTTGACGTTTTCAAATAAATTTCTAATAATAGTGCTAAAAAAGATGAATTTAGATAGTGAAGATAAGTTATTATGTATACCTCCAGAAATAAGAGAGATAATAATGCAATACAGAATTTATTACCAGAAAAATCAAAAAACAAGTATGAAGGTGTATACTAAAGTTTTCAAGATTGGTGTAACTCGTTTACAGAAAATGTACTTTTGGCATATTTTAATGAACTTAGCAATACATATAAAGCATAGTCTCTATGGACTTTCTACTCCTTGTAAGAAGCACACTCAACATAAATAATGGAATTAATATAGAGAATTATTCAAAATTACGTGCGTTTCTTAAACGTCAATCAGAGAAACACAGAGACTGGAATTGAGAACCTATCTATTTCTTGCTGAGGAGTCCTAATAAGGACGAAACCGGTCCAAGAATGATGTTCTCCTTGGTGAGCAAAATCAAAGTAGAGAGTGTTGAAAATTAATTTCTATCTCTGCTGTTTTTCCTTCGGATGTAATTCAATGCCTGTTGTGGTATTAGCCAAAGGAGTAGTTGTTTTTTGAAGGGGAAACGGTCGTTGTATTTTATGTGATATTCTGGCTTTGAGCTAAATTCGTTTTTATTTCAATTATATAATTCTTTCTAGATACTTGTATCTTAGTATTTATTGTTATAGTCATAGATAAAGTATAGTATTCAACTTGCGGTAATGGTCATAACCATGGAGGAAGGATAATTAAGAGTTACCGTTTCTTTTTGAAGAAATATGGCAACAGGTTTGCTTGCAGCGCCACCGGTAAGGGATTTGTCCAACTATTTCTCAGTCGGTAATATAGATACCTGCATATTTTATTTTATTTAAAAATTAGCGGGATTTTGTTTGTAGCTCTACTTTAATTAGTATAATTAAAATTTTGCATTTTTATTGGCATTTTTTACAACACAGACAAGGTGCAAGATGTAACAAAATGCCAATCAAAATGTAAAATTTTATGACCCATAATTTTAGGAAGGGTAAAATAATTTAATATAAAATAATTGTATTATCTATTATATCATTAGAACTAATTTTATAATAAATTTTCTAAATAAACAATATTTTAATAAAACATCTAAAACTTTCTGTAAACTTGGGTAGGTAACAAAACACATTAAGGAGAACCATCCATATAATCTGAAACAGAAAAAATTCAAAGTAGTATTTTAACTTCATATCATTTTGAATCTTTTTTCTTTTAGACATTGTCACAGTTTTATACTTTCATTATAATATTTTATAATTAATAATGGTAGTCCCTTCATCTTTTAATTAGATGTAGTACTTTTAAAAAAACAGATGTCTGCGGGATCAAGCTTTGAGGTCCTTCTTTGATTCGCAAATTTTACTTTGCTGTTTTCTAATTATAAAATAGAGTTTTTTCTCCCTTGGAGCTAACCATTCACTGGATTGATTTAAAAATCCAAGAGCTAATTATTGTTTTTTAGGTTATAATTATATTTCATTGGATGAAATTTTAATCGAATGTAACTTTTTTTTCACTGGTAATTTGTTTGACGGTATGATAACAATATTACTTTAGTATTACTCTTTACTGTTAATTTAGCTTTCAAGGGTACCAAAGGTAAAGCCAATTTACAGTCTTGTAACCTATACATGGTTTTTCGCAAGTGGAATGATGAAGTTTATGCGGCATCATTTAGTTCCTTGCTTAATATCGGAAGGAAATAAAAAAAATGTGTTCTTAAAATGTATAGCATAAATTGGACAGTAAATTGTACTATTTACCTTTATACAAACAACGCTATTACAATTAGATATTATGAATTTATTACGAACAGGACCTGCTAAACACATGTTAAAACATCAAAATATCTTTGCTTAATTTTAAATTTAACATGTTTAACTAAAACTAAAATTAAATAAAAGTAAAAGTACTTACCACGTTTTATTCAGCAACCATAACCATATTGTTTTGTTCAGTTTTGTTATTGTATCGGTTCGAACGGGTGACAATCACAAAGTCAGATTTACATTGTACAAATAATTGATTAATTCATGTTTTTCAAATAATTGTAGTATTTATATAAATATATAATTTTAAAACAATACTTACCCTGTATTACTTTTGTTATTAAGCGAAATATATTTGAATTATTCAGTTATTAAGTGTACTTTAAGTTTAAATATCATTTTATTATTGTAAAACGGACTGATATGCGCGGATGTGTTGCGCACTAACCTGTTGATATAACGCGCATATGTTATAAGCCCCCCTGGTCATAACTCACTTGATGAATTACAGCACTCGCCTGCGGCTCGTGCTGCAAACTTCATCTGCGTGAGTTATGACCTGCATTACCGCTCGTTAAATAATATACTATTATTGTCAAAAATACAACAGCCAACTTCTGTTTCCTGTTCAAACTTGTCTGTTTTCTGGACCAATCAAATCATTTGTAGCGCTGGTGGGGCACGAGGCGTAAATTTAAATATACTACAAATGAACTTACGTCTGTTACGAAATATTGAAATTTTCTGTCGAATCACGTCGGAAATTTTTTTTATTTTTCTTCGGGAAAGTAGTTTTTTTACCAATTTTATCGATTTATCCGTTTTGGGAAATTTTCTTTCGTTCAGTGAAAATAAAAAAAAATGTATCCAAAATTTTCCTACTTTTTCGACAAATTTTTTGGAACAACTAAAAATACATTTTTCACAATCTGGCATAGAAATTTTACCCATACCTCTAACACATTTCCCAGGAAAGTTTGGGGAAAATTTTTGTGATCGCTTTCCCGGGATAAACCTTACTAAACTTAAGAGGAAATATCCGGCTCAACGAGACGCGTCACATGACAGGGGAGCGGGAAATAAAATAAACCGCGAAACTTTTGGTTTTTGTAGGAAAATTTGAAAGTGGTCTGGTGGTCGCAATGGCCGCATGAGTTAAAAACTAACACGTAATTGTTTATTTTAAGGCGGTTCCCAATGTAATAGTAACACCACATATAAAACGACAATTGATTTTCATTGTTCGGAATTAGAAGATTCTCCAAAGTTTGTAAAAGAAGAAAACTGTGAACTATTTTTGACTTGGAATACACCTGTTGCCTGCCCTGCACCTGTAAGTAGCGTAAGTTAATATCGATGATCAAATTCATTGAACAAAAAAAATCGAAATTAGAAAACTATTTTTTATTCTTTACACCAGTGGAAGATAGTCAAAGTTTGAAGAGCAAAAAGGTCCTTTTTGCACACTGATGCTTTTTCCGAGGTTGTCACGTATTAACTGGGTTTTTTCGCATTTAATTATTTCTTATTCTCAAGGGCCCACTGCCTGAACGAGCGGAATGACGATAAATGAACAATATATAATCTTCGGCGATCGACCTAAAGGCTTCTCGCGATCGACTGCTTTACACAATGGGAAATTCTCATTTTTAAACATATAAATATAGGTTTCATTCATATTTTTTTAAAATTTATATTTAAAGAAAAAACAATTTTTTAGTGGTTTTTAAACTTGACGTTTCTAGTTTGATATGTGGCAACGTTTTCTATAATTGATGACAATCGTGAAGCCTCTAACACCAATAGGTTTGTTTCAACAACGATCTGAAACCAATCATTGACACCAGGATTCTACGCAGTAGATTATTTAGACAAAGGAGTTTACTATTCGCTCCGTGCGAAGTCATGGAAAGGGAAGCAAAAGCGATACTAACGCTGGCTGCGGATAATTCGTGCATTTTAGGGCGATATTTTGTAATTTTGGCATATCAAATACACGTATACATTTTACTTTTTTCAAAAAAAGTAGGTAAAAACAATACAATAAGCAACCGGAGTTGCTGTGTTGAAAATTGTACAAATACTAGCAAAAAAACAGTGAAACTTATATAAAAAATTTCAGTAGCGAAGTGGAAATTAAATCAAAGAAATAAATGGATAGATATACAATAAGAAGAAAAATTACCTTTATTTTTGTAATAATAACCGTAATGCTGCAAATAGTAGACATCAGAAACTTGAAAGGTTTTAAATAAACAATAAATTATCATTTTACAATGTTCTTTAATATCCCTTATTCTTAAATGTTCATTCAGCAAGGACTAGATTTCAAGATTTCTGCCTTTGATTATTATATGTGGTTGGAACGCAATTTTGTACCTTTAATCATTCATTCTATGTTTTCTTTCGAACAAAAATGAAAATATAAGTAATGATCCTTTTTTATACATTTTAACTTCACGCTATTATTAAATGGTATTTTTTTATTTTGACAGAATAGACTAATTCTTCAATGAAAACTTATTAGACTTAGGCAACTTCTTATACATTTTCCAGTAAATACTGTTGCCTGCCTATATTTTATTATTGATTTTTATCGATTATACATAATTTTCTTTAATTAAGCGATAAAAATATATAATAATAATAAATTAATGTTTTACTTGTTTTACAAATCCATATACTTTTATTAAAACTAACATATATACTTTTTAATTACGAATTCTATTAAAAGTTGCATTTGTCAGTATACGCAGAAATAGTCCATTAGTATCAAAACGAATTGGCGCTGCTGTCGCGCACGGAGCGAATAGCATCAGCAGCAGTATTATAAGTCATGCAATGATGCGGATAAAGCGTTCTGAATGGTCGAAATCGTGCTGAAAATTCTCGTCCGTGTTGAATATTATCGTTCGTGCTAAATGCTCTTTGGGGAAAGTTTGTGCTCGGAAGAACGATATATAATACGCGCACAAACGATTTATAGTGCGCGAAAGTTTCCCCACAGCACGAAGGGAATGTTCCCCCCTCGTCATCACTAACTATATCTCATAAACTAAAGATATCAGCAAGTGTAAAACCTAATACAAATTTATTTTGTTCTGCTGGACTAGAAATATTTAAATTATTTAATTCAGATAAACATGCTATCACCCTGTATAGGGTATTCAATGGTATCATAGACTATTAGGGTATAACATAAGCTATAAACTTTGATATCGTTGAAAAGCTTTTTCAGGGGCGTCTTCCAGGTTGACAGTTTAAGGTACGGGTTTTGGAACGAATGATGGATTCGCTTGCTTCAAGTGCCATTTTATTATTTTTTCCTGCTGTACTCTAACCTAATATTTTTAATATATGATACGAACCCTAAGCAACCATTTTAAAATATTAAATTGAATTTCTTTATACTATTTTTTTGTTTCTTCTGGTGTCAAATGTTAATAATTTGGCACAAAAACAACATAAAAAGTGATATCATTTCATGTAGGTAAATAAAAGAATTATAATTGTTCATAGAAACCAAAAAATGTGTCTCTGAATTAATACTTTTTTGTTAATTTGATCATGAGTAATTTATCCAAATTCTATATTTTGTATTTAAATTTCCCTATATTGTAGAGACGCTTTCAAGCATTTTCTGATATTACATCTTTAGTTCATATGATACGTTTTTAAATTGTTACTTTTATTTCAAAAATATAGACTATCAATATATTTCATTTTTTGATTGTTGTTGCCTTGTGAGACGAAATATAATGGAAAAAATCTTTTGTACCAAATTGTTTAAATTCAAATAAAGGTAAGTATTTCTCAAAAAAAACATTTATACATTATTTGTTCCCAGAGACATGTAGGAAAATTGTGGTTTAAGGCAGCAGTGTGTTATAAAAATATAAAAAAATACTCAAGTGCAGATCATAACAACAAAATATTTACAACTTTAACTGTACAACTTTCACGAGACTGGTACGAACTATTCTGAAATATGTTTCCTTTTCTTTTAACTTAGGGAAATGGATGGAAGCGATTTTCCAAATTCAATACTTGAACGGAACGGATTGATTCACTATTAAACAACCATGCACCATTGCCACATATCGAAGTAGAAACAAACCATTTTAAAATTTAAATACCTAACTTTTTTCTCAATTTTAATTAACTAGTAATTGTTTATAGACGACAAAAAATTGCTCTTGTCATATATTTTCGACATTTTTTGTTAATTATATATTTTCCTTTTATGGGGGTTTCCCCCCATTCTCAAATTTATCTATTTAGTTTTTATTTTATTTTTTCAGGATAGTGATAGTTGTAAGAATATTCACAATGACATATTCGAATGTGATATTACGAAAACAACTAAAAATTACAACGAATCATATGATTTAAGTAAATTACATCGCCCCAACGGATATGTGGTTAAAAATAAAAACGTCGAATACCATTTGAATATTTGCGGACCAGTTGACGATAGGGATGCACCGTGCAAGAAAAATTCTGGAATTCTAGCAAAATATTTGGACGAGTTCGATATTAGGAAAAAGTAAGTAAAAATTATTTAGTGAAGATATACATTCCGATCATTATTATATTCCTGTTGGAACGATAAAGACCATTACACTTTTACGTCATATGTCAAACTCGAGCTGGTGGAGCTAGTCAGTTTTAATAAGAAAAAATGCCATATCTTTAAAATAGGTTCATTCAAATGACATGTTCATTCTGTCAAATATTAAATTATTGCCTTTAAATAAATCAAAGTACAACTCTAATAAGTCGCCATTTTGATTATACTTTTCCATCACTCGAAGTGCGTCCATTTGTCATATCGCAAAATATTATTTATGTCATATTTACTTCATTCTACTGGGTAGTCCCTTTTTAATTCCCTAACATAGGAAAAATGGCCACCATCGCGGCTAAGGCTGATTTAGGAGTTTGAATCTGGCTGTTTTAACTCCCCAAATCCCTGCTGGCTTTCCCAAATTATCAAGATACCTTTAGTTAGATTTTATCAAAACTCCAGGGTTACAAAATCTACTTACCCTGATAAATATCGGAAGCCATATCGAAAAAGGCTCTTAAAAATATTTGGCTAACACACCAAACCATACTAGCTTGTCTTAACATCCAAATCAAAATGAACAATCTTTTCGAATAACTATTGGCTATTCTGATAATTACCTTCCCAGACAACACACCAAATCCCAGAGATATCCACATAACATCTTTTGTGGATATTCCAATATATCCACAGGATATCAGAAATATTCCGTGGATCTAATATGGATATCCAAATGTCCGTCTATATCCAGAATATAGAAGATATCCTAATGGATATCCAGCAAAATATCTAATGGGTATCTTCCATAAAATACAAGAAATCCCAGAGATATCCACAGAATATATTTTGTGGATATTCAATATATCCAATATGGATATTCAACCAAATGTCCGTCTATATCCCAGGATATAGAAGATATTCATAAGTAACCAATGATTATTGAATAACGTCGAAAGAAAATAGAGATAAAAAATATTTTCAACACTCTGCCTTTGATTTTGCCCACTAAGGACAAAGTCATCCTTATTAGGACTCTTCAGCAATAAATGCAAATTCTCGACTCCAGTCTCTAATGGAGTCTGATTAGGACACACATTTCGATCGAACTCAATTACGGCGGGTCGAGCATGAGTAGATGCGAAAGTGGTATCGCCATCTATACTTAGTAAGCAAAATCAAATAACATCTAGTGGATATCCACGATGGTTTTCGTTCGCGCCTAGACTTTGATACATTTAGTGGATGTCCATGGGATATTGAGTACACCTTAGAAAAATTAATTTTAAATATCTGAACGGTACTATTAGCCACAATGGCGTAATTTTTTAATAATTTGCTATATAATTACTCTTATTTATGAACATTTGCATGTCTATAAATTACATCTCATGGATATAAAATAGATATCCACCATGGACTGGACATTCAGTGGATATTGGGATGTTCAGTAGATATCCAAAGGATTTGGTGTGCTTTCTGGGTTAGTGACAAACCAACCACCGATTATATTATTTCAATTAAAATATCTGCGCCAAGAAACACCACACGGTCCTTAAAAATATCACACCGTTTTTTTGGTTCATTCGAAATGAAATCCATATATCGCCTAACTATGTACTTGCTAAAATTAAAGGAAAATGGTCTATTTTCAAAATCTATTAGCTCGTTCTTCCTGTTTACCCTTCCATATGTATTTTAACCATTTTTAACGATTTGTCAAATTTCCACTTGCAAAAAATGTAAAACTTTCTAAAAAATCCAATATACAGTAAGCCAAAAATACGTAGCTTTTCCTTTTTAAGGGTAAAATCATTTGGAAAATTCAACAAACCATACCAAGAAAGGAACTATTTAGTAATGGAGTCTGCAGGTGGTGATTTTTGTATTGAGATGAACATGGATTATAAAAGCGTGATACAGTTCGAGTGTAGTGAAAAGGTGGTAATTCAAAAATTAATTATAACTACATGTAAGTTTATAGTTACAACTAAGAATTATTTTTAGAGTGATATAAGTGTTAGAAACTCCACCAATTGCACAATAGATTTGCTGTGGAAAACAGACCAAGCTTGTCTAAATACAATTTGGTCGACCAAAAAATGCCTATTTAATCATCCTTTCGGCGATGGGTACGAGTAAGTCGTTTTCACTGTAATCGAAGCAAATTAAATTGATTTATGTACGTTTTAGATTGGACTTGACGAAATTAGAGAAAACTTCTTTGGCGGCAAAAGAATCTGGCGTAGATTATTTGTTTGATTTGTGTGGTAATGGAAAATCGCAATGCTCTTCAAACAGTAAGTGTATGGTGTAAATATAGGATATAACAATTGGAGCGGTGGCGTAGGTGTCTAGCGCACTCGCATTCATTTACGAGCAATTTTGTAGTAAGAGACACACTGGCTTCGAATCCTACAGAAAACCATGTTAATTTATTTGCATGGTTCTCTATGGGATTTGATGGATGCCGTATTAGCAGAAATTTAATTTCTTTTGATATGACATCCATATTATAAAAATCGCCATGCGTTACCGTTTCGATGATGGTGGGTGGGGTTTTCCCCACCTATAAGTCAAATGGCAACATCAATCATCTTTAAGTCGCCCTAGAGCGGTACGGAAAATAATAATAATAAGCATAGCCGTCCCTTTCCCGGACAAGCTCAGCTTTTAGGGTAAACAATTCACTCGTAAGGGGGTGAATTACGGAGATTATTATGTGTAAAAAATTCTTCGCAACGTTCCTGGGGCTTCGACACACCCAGTACATTACGCGAAAGGCCTGGTCGCTTAGAAGATCACTCCTTACTTCTGCTCGATCAGTGATCTTCGGCCAAATTCAATTGCGAAGGGACCCAAGGACTACCACTTTCTGCATCTTCACCACTAGTTGTTCTGATGAATCTCGGCAAGCCGGTATTTTTTGTAGCTCCTTGAGCATAGTGTCCTTGATTCCCCCTAAAACACCCACAATTAGGACTACCATTCATACACTATATTCTGGAAACATTCTTTGCAACTAGTCAATTGTATGCACGTTTTTCCCTCTCCTTAATACGAATGTTGGTTTCAGCTGGTACAGAAAACTCAATGACAAACATTGAATGACTCTGTTTGTCCAACAGCACCAAATTGGGCTTGTTAGTTTGGAGTCTGGTTGTGGGAAAAGCGTAATTCCAATAAATACGGCAACTGTTATTTTCCACTACCGTTTCAATTTCGTCTGGGGCGTATGGCAGAACTGGTGTCTCATCTATACCGGTGTGATGTCTCAGATGATAGTAGAGAACTCGCAATGCGGCGTTGTGCCTGTAGATATGTACCCAGACACAGCTTGCACCGGGCAAGCGAACAAAAGATGCATTAATGTCTCCGGGTATTGTTGGCATGTTCTGCATCTAACATCCGCCACGTGCGTAAATTGAGTGCCGTATACGAGAGTCAGCTGATCGAAAAAAGGAGAAAGTTAATTCCCTGGATAGATTAAGATCTTCTATGTTCCTGTTAAAAACACCGTGTTGGGGTTTGCTGACGTGATCTTCCAAGAGCAGCTGTTGTTCTGCTGCCCTAACTAGACGTTTTACTTCAGCGGGTTCCAACCTTGTAAGAGATTGGTTGTCATCTATTTCAAATCTGAGACCTAGTTCATCCGCAGCTTTACCTGTAACCTTAAAATCCTGGTGCTCCTCTATCTTGCCCATCACCCCCATCCGAGAAAGGTGGATTGTCAGGCGCGTGCTCTGCATTGCTAGTCGTAACAATGCGAGATCCCAGCACCCTGGGATGTTACCCCAGGGCACTTCGACGAGTTACGGTATTTCTTGGGCTACCGGCTCGATTTAAGACCCGGTATGGGTCACTGGTATTACTCGTGACCCAATATTATTATTTTTATTATTAATTGAATCGGTCATTTGACAAACGACACATGTCACATGTTTGGCAATTTTGTTTTCATTACAAAAATACAACATTTAAAGGTAAATTATAATTATTGAATTTTACCCAAAATAGAGCAAGTTTTAAACGCCAAGTGTACGAAACTTTTTTTTAACCATGTTTTGAGATTTTCACTTTTTCTTATTTTTTGAAAAATTATCTATAACTGACATGTGCTGTTTCTCAAATGACTGATTCAATTGTTATTCATAAACCATTTTATAATTGTGTTTTAGATTGTATCTATGTACCAGCGAGTAAAAATGTGACAGCATATGAAAATAAGACTTACATAGACTTTACTTTAAATAGAGGATGTAACAAAAATACTATATTTAATAAAGCTAAGTTTGAATTAGTATGTGATGACATAACTGAAAACGATCATTACGTTTACAAAGGAATCAAAGATTGTACTATGGTATTTCAGTTGATAACAAGCCAAGTTTGTTATAAAAGGGTAACGTTTTATTTTATGTATTTAGTAATTATATAGGGTGTTATTGAAATATATGTGCATATTCAAAGTTAAAAGAGTGTATGCTGTTCAAAAACGGATGGCACTAATTTTAGCTTTACATTCTAAAATTTAAAAATGGACCAATTTCCGCGGTTGTCAGTTCGTTATAAAATTGCCAGGAATATTTTTTGTTAGTATGATTTTTTGCCGAGTCACGTGTTTAACATATTCTTCTAAAATCAATTGTTAACGTCCCCGTTTTTCTTTTTTATTTTCTACACGTATTTTTTTTAATGCTCTATAAACTGTACGGTCTGAAATTATTCTGTTTCATCTACTGTGTAATATGGAAAATGTTCGCGGAAACCATCTTATCCGTTTTTGAAAAGTGATGCCATTTCGCAGAAAGATTACTACAGCTGGGTAACTCCTAATTTATTTTAAGTGACGTTTAAAAAAGTTCAAAAGAAAAACAACGAAAATAAAAATAAAATAATTTATCGGAAATTTCCTTTAACCATTTCCGCCTACACTGCTGACCAGAAACCAAACCATTAACGAACTTGATTATTTGCCACTCCAAATTAAATATTACCGACGTTGCATTTTCAATATGTGTCCGTTTTATTGCATGGCAAAAAATGCGGGAGGAAACAAATTCCCAGACATGACAGCGTGTAACATACTGATCTTCGACTAGCAAATTACCTAGTTTTGATGTCAATGTGGAGTAAATTACTTACATATTATTAAGTTTATATATACCCAATAATTTATTACTTAAACGTTTTAAATAATATTCCTAGCAGGTGTAGTACTTTGTGTAATAATATGTATTAATGTGAATGTACTTTTTTTCCACTCTTGACATTTTATTGAACATCAGCTCAATAAACCAATCCCGATGACCTATTTATATTTTATTCTTTTTGTTAGGACGTGATAGTACCATTAGTAGGCCAAGCAGCCGATGATATTAATAATTATCACGTTGATACCAATCCACCATCAGAATTTAAGTCAAACTGTAATGTCAAAAATCAGTATACGGGTTACCAATTTAATATTAGTCTATTAAAATTAAATGTAAGTGTGATAATTTTACTAGAAACTCAAATTATTCGGAAATTTTTACTCACTCACTAATGTATTTACAATATTCGTGAGTTCGAAAACATTTCCGGAAATAATTTAGGTACTAATGGTATAAATGAAAATATTTTTCCGTATATTCATTTTAATAAATTCTTAATTTTAGGTTTCTTCGTCTAAATGTCCTGATATTGCTTTCAATGTCGAGGATCAGATGATTTATTTAGTATATGACCTATCACATGGCTGCCAAAAAGAAAATGGTAAGATTTATACAGGTGTGTCGCAAGAAGTCTGCACCTTATGAAAAAGTTATTTTTATTGTTGGTTTCTTAAATTATATCACTCGCACTGTAATAATTTCCTATACTTTAAGTTGATTAATAATTGATAATCATACATCATGACTAATTGCTAATAATCATATTTGGTACATTAAGCTTGTCAGATTTTAATATTGATATTGTAATGTAACTGTAAATTATTAAGTTATAACATTTTATTAATTATTGATAAATAATCTATTGAATACAACTTGTGATATCGGGACTATGAGTAATCACATAAGTATTTAGAGAATATGTGATATGCGTTTATCGATAGTTTCGATACCATTCGTTGTATTTAATAGAAAATTGTATTTAAAAGTAAGTACATGACCAAAACCTAATATAAACTTCATAGATATTATAATTTTGGTGCTGCGTAGTACGTAACAATTTCGTATAAATAAAAATTTTCTTGATTTAATCGGTCATTATTTTTATTTGAATCGTTTAGCACAGCACTACATATGTTTCGGAAATTAATTTTTTTCCATCTTCGGGTGCCGTCAAAATTTAAAAAATAATTTAAATTAAATTACAAAGGGAATAAAAATAAAAAAAAAATAAAAAGAATGATTCAATGAAATTTTTATTTATATAAAATTCTGCTACGGTCAGGAAATTATCCTTATTCAAGTAACACTTTCGTTTTCTTGGTTCAGATTCTTGTGCGACTAATTTTTAAATTTTGATTTGGTAATTTTGTATCAGTTGTGTGAGTACTACTTGTATTAATTACCAAAGCAAAATTCATGGGTTTTCCGAAATAATACAATCTTAATGGAATATCATACTCAAAACCAAACATGTTTTAGGTGATCTAAGTCGACTTGACTTTAGAGTGATGTTGAAATGTAAAACGGATCATTATCAAAATACTACTACGGTAAAGATTATCAATATTTTTTATGATTTATTTTAACATTTTTTTTGTTTCTTGGTGGTTTTAATATATTATACGAGGGCTGTTCTTTTTCCGCTAAGCCTATCTACGAGGGTGGATGAATAAGTACCCGTGTTTAAAAGCAGGTGGCATTGCTGAAGGAAGTTGGCATTACTGTCGTGTACTGTCATCTGTCACACGACACCATACTAAATTTCAAACTGATTCATAGGTTGGTTTTTATTTGGCAGCCACTTGTACCATACGTGTTTCGCATTAATCGATAAAATGGAAAAGAACAATATCGATCCGTAATTCGCTTTTTATTTTTGGATGGAAAAACATGCGATGAAATAAAAGCAAAGTTGGATGCTGTCTATGGGGACCCTTCACCATCTATGACAACCGTAAGATATTGGTTCAACGAATTTAAACGTTGTCATACATCTGTTTTTGATGAGGAGCGACCAGGTCGCCCGGCAGACGTTGTTACCGAGGAAATCGTTAAAAAGGTCCAAGATATGATTGTCGCAGATCGCCGAACGAAAGTGCAAGAAGTAGCAGAGGCCGTAGGCGTATCATACGGAACAGCAATTAATATTTTGCATGATAAGTTAAACATGAGAAAGGTATCGGCCCGATGGGTGCCGCAATTGCTTACGGTGGACAACAAGCGGATACGCCTGTCAATGTCGAAGCAGTGTTTGGAGCTCTTTAATCGAAATTCGCAGGAGTTTTTGCGTCGAGTCGTCACCGTTGATGAAACCTGGATACATTATTATACGCCGGAGACCAAACGACAGTCGAAGCAATGGATTTTTCAGGGTGAATCTGCTCCAAAGAAAGTAAAGACGGTCCCATCGGCCGGAAAGATCATGGCCACGATTTTTTGGGATTCCAAGAGAATAATCCTCATCGACTTTTTGCAGAAAGGAAGTACGATCACAGGGCAGTGAATTATTGGACCGATTCGATGCAAAATTGAAGAAGACACGGCGTCATTTGGCTAAGAAAAAAGTCCTGTTTCACCACGATAACACACCAGCACATTTATCGAGAATTGTCGCGGTCAAATTGCAAGAACTGCAGTACGAATTGCTACCGCGACCACCGTACTCGCCCGACTTGGCTCCATGCGACTTTTTTTCTATTCCCCAACATGAAAACGTGGCTCGGGGAAAAAATTTAGCTCTAACGAGGAGGTTATCGTCGATACTGTAGCGTATTTTACGGAGTTCGAGAAATCATATTTTTTGGAGGGGTTAAATAAATAGCAGAAACGTTGGGAAAAGTGTATAGCACTAAAAGGAGATTACGTTGAAAAATAGAAACAAATTTTTTTGAAAAACTTGCCTCTTCCTTTCTAACACGGGTACTTTTTGATCCTCCCTCGTATTTTGTCTGTCATTTCTTTCTAGTTGTTTACAAGTTTGGTTAATGACAGCTCCTTCGTCAATAAGTGATGGAAAGGAAGTGTCCATTAATTACGTGAGGTATTTTTGAGGATTTTTTGACCCCCTCTCCCCCCATGGTGGTATTTCGTAAGATTTTCCTCAACTCCCTCCCCCCTCCTATAATCTCAAGAGAGATTTTTCAAAATTTGTATTTTGGGTATAAATGTGTCAGATTATTAAAAAAAGAAAACAAAAACAATATAATGTTCTTTTATTTTATATAAGACTAGCAAAGACAAGTATTTGAGAATATTGCCGTAATATACAATTTCTAGAAACATTTTTTACTTTAATTTAACTTTACTTTCATGTCATTTTACACCGTTTTCTAATAGAAAAAAATTACGTCAGATTTACAGACTCCCCCTCTCCTACAAGTAAGATTTGGAAAGATTTAGCTTCATCCCCTCCCCCCTTGAACACCTCACGTAATTAATGGACGCCCCCAAATGAGTAATATCGGGCTGTAATTTTATTTACAATTTCAAGCGTGGCTTGAATCGTAAAAAATAAAAACTATTTGACCGAATAAACCAAGGAACTTTTTATTTGTATAAAATTCTGCTACGGTCAGGAAAGTATCCTTATTCAAATAGAAATAATGGTTCATTCGCCTAATGACTTCTTATTTCGGCGGGTAAAACGAGATTTTTTAAAATGAAATACCTAATAAAACTACAGCCAGAAGATTAAAGAAAATGTTTTTGAGAATGGTTATCGGATGCAAAATATATTGACTGAATGAGAACGGAGCTGAGCAAATCACTCAAAAAGTGCTTCGATCACCAAGTCCCAACTTCTTTGGAAAAGTAATTGGATCAAGCACTTTTGAAACAGCACACAACTCCTTTAGTGCTTGCAAGCTCTTTAAAGTGCTTGCAAGCCTTTTAAGTCTTTACAAGCCTTTTTAAGTGCTTACAAACTCTTTTGAGTGCTTGCAAACACCTTAAATGGCTTAAAATGCGAAATTCAATGACCAAACACTTTTTACAAAGGATTTTCAAAACCAATTACCGAGAATTGCATTTTAAAAGTGCTTGCAAGCACTATTGTGCTTGAAGCACTTTCGAGGGGAGGAGAATATTTAAAAAATATAAACTGTTTTTTATAAATAAGCTTAACGGACAGAACAGCCCTCGTATATACAGGGTGTTTCAGATTAAAACGGACACAGCTTAATGGGAGGTAGAGTAGTACACTTAGCCTTTAATCTCACTCGTTTCTGAGATATAGGGTGTTTTATGATTTTTGGCCCAAACTAAAGTCGGCCATTTTGTTTGAACGGCTAGATATTTTGATAAAATTTTGTACAAAAGTTGCACTCTCTTAGGTTAATCAAAGCCATAATTTAATTTTAAAAAATTTCAGGATCGAACTCTCTTTTTATATTGCTCTTCTTAGCTAGAATATCACCCTGTATATCGGATTTTAATAAATGTTACTGCACATTTAAATAGTACGTGGATCAATAAATCAAATAATGTATTAATATTTAATGGCACCATCTTGATTTTCTTACAGTAAATTTTTATAATGGCGACTACAATATTCTAAATCAGTATTTACAATATTAAAATCAAATATTTTACTCTGTACTTTTAAAACTCTACACAAATTAGGTACCATCTTCTTTTTTTTTAACTACAGTCTTTTCCATTAGGAAATTGAGCATCTAAACAGGACCGGGCTCACTTTATTCAATAAAGTAATAGAAAAAACTAACAGAAATAAATAATAAATTAAAACTAAAGTAGATTTCCAAAATGAACACCTTGAACGTCAATACACCTCTTCGAATGTTTTAACAGGTTTTTCACTGATTTGTCAATTGTTTCCGGATTATTTCTAATGTTGTTACATACATTATTAATTTTTTCCAATAACTGTGTTCGGGTATTCATTTCTTCGTTGTAAACCTCTGATTTAAGGTAGCCCCATAAAAAATAATCCAGAGGTATTAGATCTGGAGATCTTGGTGGCCAATTGACGAGACCGCCTCTACCTATCCATCTATTTGGGAAACGATGATTTAAATGGTATAAAAATGAGGTCCAGCACCATCGTGTTGAAACCACATTCCTCTGGTATTAATCCCTTCTAACAAATTTGACAGGATGTCTCTAATGAAATTTAAATAAACTTCAGCTGTTAATCTGCCTTCAAAAACACGAGGACCTATTAAATGATTTTTATAAATACCACACAATACATTTATAGAAAATCTATATTGAGAATGTTTTTGTGATACAATGTGAGGATTTTTAATTGCCCAAATATGAACATTCCTAGTGTTATTCATCCCATCATCTGTAAATTGGGATTCATCAGTAAATAAAATTCTCGATATTGTCCTTCTGTGGGCCAAAGTCCATCTATAAAAAGATAAGCGGGTTACGTCGTCTCCGTGTTCAAGTCGCTGTACTTTTTGTACATGAAATGGATGCAAATTTTAATTTTTTAAAGTTTTCCATACTCTTGTTATCGGTACTGCTAATTCATTACTAATTCTTCTTACACTGATAGAAGGATTATTTCGAGCTACCTATAGCATCTCCACTTCTTGTCGAAGATTATTTCTCGGAGCATGTTCATGTTTAACTGTAGTTGGAAACTATCCATGTTGCTTACTGTATTCGAAAACCTGTAAAAATGTTTTAGAATTTGGTAAACGGTGATTAGAAAAGCGTCTGCGATACTCTCTTGCTGCTGCTCTACCGTTTCCGTTACAAAAACAACACTAAAATAATATCTGCATATTCTTCATTATTAAATTGAAACGGCATCCTGAAATACTTATTTTCGTACTATTAAAAACTTGCACTTATAAACAAAAGTAATTTAGCTGAAAATACTGTACATAAAATAAATATTATTTGATACCAAGCCTACTGGTATTATACAATTTTACATTAATCATGTTTAGAACAGAATGAGTGATGGTGTAATTTGGCGCATATTGGCAGTTGACTAAATTGAGTTATCAGCTTTGTTTTAAAATACCTAGTTTTTTGAACTTTTAAATTTAATTTCATCGGAGTTTAATTTCCAAATACCTGAAGATGAACGTGGAGAGAGGAATGAATGAGGTGGTTCGAAATCATCTTTGTGTTATTATAAGAATTGGTAATAAATAGTACCTAGGTACCGCAGAAACAAGTGTACAGAGAATTTAAAAAAATTAAATTTGTAAATATTTTATGTACAAAAATTACAGCGACTTGAACACACATAAAATGTTTGGTGTGGAATTTATAAAAAAATCACTTAATACCCAAGCACAGTTATTCAAAAATATTAACAATATATCTAACAACTTTGGAAATAAACCGAAAATAATTGACAAATCAGTAAAAAACCTGTTAAAACATTCGCAGAGGTGTATTGACGTTCACGGTGTTCATTTTGGAAATCTATTTTAGTTTTAATTAATTATTTGTTTCTGTTAGTTGGTTCTATTACTTTATTAAATAAAGTGAGCCCGGTCCTGTGTAGATGCTCAATTTCCTAATGGAAAATGCTGTAGTTAAAAAAAAAGAAGATGGTACCTAATTTGTGTAGAGTTTTAAAAGTACAGAGTAAAACATTTGATTTAAATATTGAAAATACTGATTTATAATATTGTAGTCGCCATTATAAAAATTTACTGTAAGAAAATTAAGATGGTGCCATTAAATATTATTATATTATTTTATTTATTGATCCACGTACTATTTAAATGTGCAGTAACATTTATAAAAATCCGATATACAGGGTGATATTCTAACTAAGAAGAGCAATATAAAAAAGAGATGCTGGTCCTGGAATTTAAAAAAAATTAAATTATGGTTTTGATTAACCTAAGAGAGTATAACTTTTGTACAAAATTTTATCAAAATATCTCTAGCCGTTCAAACAAAATGGCCGATTTTAGTTTTGGCAAAAAATCATAAAACAGCCTATATCTCAGAAACGAGTAAAATTAAAGGCTAAGTATGGGGGTGTTTTGAACTCAACTAAGCTTTGTCTGTTTAAATCTGAAACACCCTGTATGTGTATATATTAAAAAAATTAAGTACTACTTTTTTCTGAAGCAATAACTCTTTAAAACTATTTTTAGAATGGAATATGTTCCCAAAATAGAACCTTTGAATTAATAGAGGCTTGTAAACTACTAGATAAATACGTTATAAATAATAAAAATGTACGAGCTTATTCGTCTGGAATTATAGCAGGTAGGTTTTCCGTTTTTAATTAAAAACAAATCATATTTTCTTACATGAATAATTGCAAACTGATATTAAATAATTTTCGTTTCGTTTTTAGCTATAGTTATATCTACACTAGTAATGGCTGTGCTAATAGCAATATTTTTTTATTGGTTGTACAAGAAGATGCAAAGAAGAAATTGGACTTACGGATCGTTATTTGCATCCTATGAGAAGGTATTAAATAAAGTTAACCTTTCAATTACATTTACCTAATTAGTTAAATAACATTTTCCTCTATTTAATTATTGGGACACCCTATATGTAATACAAAATTCTAATTGACTACTAACATTTTCAAAAGGTAAAAACTTCTTTCTTAATGAGTTATTTCATTTTCAGGATGTTGACTTATAGTTATTAGTGCAGCAGAAGCTACCCTCTACCAAATTTGTGTATTTCAGTATTATTTTTAAATAATTGGACCAAAATGAGTTGTGTAAAAAATAGACTCGAATATGGAATTTTTCTTACGTGATATTTTTTTATTAGTTTAATTACAACAAATGTTAAAACTGTTCAATCTGCAAGATCCGCCTTCCAGAAAAGCCATTGTGAGTTAATGTTACGTGTTTAAAAATCAACAATATGGCGCTTTCTTGACGATTGGCTTTCATTTCATGATACGATATCTGGCAGCTTGTTTTATACGTCTTTATAGTGGTTCAGATCCTATACCAAACCATGCTAATTTTTAATAAAGTTGCATGATTCGTTGTAGGATTTAATGGGTAGTCTGGTTCATAAACCTAGGCTGGACCACCAAAAATTATGATTTTGGTCTTATTCGATTCGAAATGGCATCTAAAACAAAACATCAAGTGGACAATAGGGGCCGACAAAAATTGTAAAAGTTATAAACACTAACGTAAAAAAAAGAATGGTTTGGTTTTTTGAAAATATTTCAAAAACTATTTGAGATTATCAAAATTTTAAAAAAGATCCTTAAAGAGCAGAAAATATTTATAATTTCAATTTAAAGGTGAAAATTGGTCTGAAAACGGGTAGCAGCTGTAGCGGGGTAGTCAACCGAATCAGAAGCTTGGTCAAAAAAAAATTATTTTAACCGATTAAATATAAATATTAAAGAATACAAAATTTTTGGTACTATCTAAATACACGAATAAACAATAATCCGTCAACAAAAAAATTTTATCACAATTTTTTAATTAACTGTTTTTATTAATTACTTATTTTTTACCATAAAAGTGCTTATTATTTCTAAACTGGAAACCTAGAATTTTTTTACGTTTTGGAATTGTTCTTAAGAAGGTTTAGAAAAGATAGCTGTTGAAAAAATTCAGAAATTTAGATTTTTTTACTTTTTTTTATTAACAACAAAGGCATAAAAAATAAATAATGTAAATAAAGCAATCAGGATTTTTTTTCAATTGTTATTATTTTGTTTTCTTATTGCTGAAAGCTATTTAACAATATTTTTTTAACTTTCATTATAATTGTTATTGTTATGCATTGTTAATAAGATTTATGAAAAAAAATATTTGGGAATTTAATCACTAATGAAAATATAGAAATTTAAGAAAAAATGATTTCTTAAAAAAAATTTTTATTGACAATAAACTTGTAAACATTATTGTTGTTACTGAATATTAATATTAAAGAACCATTTTCTTTTTAATCATTATCACGTTCTTTCATAGTATAACTTTTTATTTGTTTAAACAATTTGTTATAAACAAATGAATTTTTGTGCAATATTTTTTGTAAATACTAAAAAATATGGAAACGACCAATATTAGGTGAAAATGTTTTTACTTTCCTATCTGTATACAGATATAAGGAAAGTATAGGAATCATGATTTTTTTTCGACCTCGAGTTTTCGACGGATTTTTACGTTTTGAGGTCCCCTGAATCCGTTTTGACTATTTTCGCGATGATGTCTGTGGGTGTGTGTGTGTGTCGCATAACTCATGAACCGATACACAGAAAAACACAAAATTTCAAACTTAAGCTTTTGGTCAGTGTCGGAATATCTGGGGGGGTACTTTATAGGTGGTCATTTTTATATTTTATGGAATATATGTTATTTACGTTTGGGGAAGAAAATTCTTCAAATAAAAGTTACTTCTTATATTATTATCTAAAATTTTTGTTCTATACAAAATTTTCCTAAAATGGTCCGTATTCGAGAAATTTGACAAAATGTAAAAAAATATTTTTTTATAAAAATTGTTCAAACAAAAGTTGTTTGTAATAATTCTAATATATAATTTTTATTCGATACCTAATTTCTCTAAAATGGACCGTATTCAAGATATTTGAGAAAATTTGTAAATTTCGAAATTTGAAAAAACTCAAAAACGGACAAAGAAAAAAACATTAAATTTTAAACTTAAGTTTTATTTCGGCCTGACGTGAAATGATTAGATTTTGGACAAAGTCGGAACATCTGGGGGAGTACTTTATGGGGGGGGCCGTTTTTATATTTTATGGAATATATGTTATTTATGTTTGGAGAAAAAAATTGTTCAAATAAAAGTTATTTCTAATATTATTATCTATAATTTTTGCTTTGTCAAAATTTCCTGAAATGGTCCGTTTCGAGAAATTTGACAAAATGTGCAAAATTCCGATTTTTATGAAAATTGTTGAAATAAAAGTTTGCGATATCGATCTCTATAATTTTTGTTTATACATGATTTTTCTAAAATGGACCGTAATGGAAAAATTGTAGGAAAAGTACTAAATTTAAATTTTTTAGTATTTTCATTTTCAATGAATATCTACAGAAAAATGTTTCGAGGTAGATGTATGTGGAAAATGTATATATTTATTTTATCCTCTAAACATTTATGGATGTGCTGCAATAGGTTGTACAAAATAACCGGAAAAAGCCTGTAATAAGTAGATAGGAAAGTCATGTGTTGGACACATCAGATTTTTTTTTATTTTTTTTATAATTTTTAATTTTTGGATGTGCCGCTTTCTTCCTGTTTTTCTTTATTGTTATTAAAATAACTTATAAACTATTAAAGATACGACAAAAATACTGCCAGACTTTTTTCTTCGGTAATTAATGAACAAATTGAGATTTGAAACGGGGCTCTCACTCAGTTGTTTATTATATAAATATAAATTATATTAAAAAATAGAAGAAAAAAAATTCAAATAAAAAAAGACGTATGGTTGTTTCCATAATATTTTTTTAATATTAAAAAATATATAGTGCACAAAAATTTATTTGTTTATAACAAATTGTTTAATAAACAAACGAAAAGTTAATAAATTTTTTCTTTATATAAACAAACGTGATAAATAATGATTTAAAAAAATGGTTCCTTAATATTAATATTTAGTAACAAAAAAATTGTGTTTTTTGTCAATAAAAAAAAATTTAAGAAACTATTTTTTTTTTTCTTAAAAAACATTATTTTCATTAGAGATTAAATTCCCAAAAAAGAAGTTTTCAAAAATCTTGTTAACAATGCATTTGTTTATAACAATTATTTAAACACTGAAAGTTAAAAATTTAAAAAAGTATTGTTATATAGCTTGCAGCAATAAGAATACAAAATATTAATATATAAAAAAAAAATTCTGATTGCTTTATTTGCATTATTTTTTAATGCCTTTTATTGTTAACAAAATAGTGAAAAATAGAAATTTCTGAATTTTTCCAACGGGGATCTTTTCTAAATACTTTTAAAAATAGCTCCAAAAAGTAAAAAAAACAGGTTTCTAGTTTAGAAATAATCAGGGTTTTTATGTTAACTTTCAACTGGTAAAAATTAAATAATTACCAAAAGCATAGTTAATTAAAAAATTGGGATAAAATTTTTTTGTTGGCCGATTATTGTTTATTCGTGTGTTCAAATAGTAACAATTTTTTTTTATTCCTTAATATTCATATTTAATTGAATAAAATAATTTTTTTTGATCAAGCTATAACCGCTACCCGTTTTTAGCCCAATTTTTACCTCTAAATTAAAATTATAAATATTTTCGGTACAGTTCCGGGACGCAAGACTTTTCTTTCGGAAATTTTCTGCCCTTTACGGTTCTTTTTTCAAATTTTGATTATTTCAAATAGTTTTTGAAATATTTTCAAAAAACCAAACCATTCTTCTTTTTACGTTTTTTTTTTTTATTTAGTGTCATCGGCATCGACTACTAAGGTCATTAGCCTCGTATTTTATGTAGGCTTTGTTACTGTTTCCAGGCGCCACTTTAGGAACAGCACTGTTAATTAAAACCCAACAGTGAATGGTCGAGTGGGGAATCCTACCAAAGCACCAGAATTAATTTTAAATAATTAAATTAAATAAAAAATCCCGGCCAACGGTGGGATTCGAACCTGGGACCCTTGGATCCACAGGTAGACACTCTACCACTGAGCCACCCACCCCTTTTTTACGTTATTGTTTATAACTTTTGAAATTTTTGTCTCACTCTATTGTCCACTTGATGGTTTGTTTTAGAAGCCATTTCGAATCGAATGAGACCAAAAACGTAAGCTGTCGCAAGGTGATACCTCTGGCTGAAATTTTGTTAGGTGGTTGACAAGACCATCAAGAAGTATCGTTTGCAAGGATTTAGTTTAAAACCGCTGCAAACGGATGTCAAACACATTAAAGTTGTAAAAATTATCGGCTAAAGAACAATCGTTCCTCCGTTTGAAAATTTATATATCTCCTCTTTGTAGGTCTCAGATAAGGTATGCAATTCGTCAGATGGCTAGGCCACTGCTAAAGGGCTATCAGTTTTTCTATGTGTCAGACGACCTCAATTTTTTTTTTTGTTGAATTTCATAATACACATATTTGATTGACATCTCTCCCTAACTCGGATAGTTAAATATTCAGCATGTATTCAAATTTGCTTTCGCGACCGCGGTTCAATTCCCGATGAAAGCAATCTTTTTTTGTTTTGAAAAAAATATAAAAATTGAAAAAATACGTACTATTGTTTATTTTAAATACATTTTATTTATCAATAATTATTGTTGTTTATTTATTTTAATTTATATTTATTAATTATGTATTTTAATAAGCAAAGAACAATAGTATACGTATTTTTTCCAAAATAAAAAAGATTGCTTTCATCGGGAATTGAACCGTGGCCGCGAAATTCAAATTTTAATGCATGTTAGGTGAGTTTTCTAATTAAATATGTGTATTGTAAATTTCAATGAAATAAATTACAAATTTGAGGTCGTCTGACAACGCTTTTGCTGTGGTAGCCATCTGTGAACTTCAAAGAGGTGATATGTAAATATTCAGCCGAATGATCGTTTTTAGCCGATATTTTTTTTACAAATGTGAGTTGCCTGACTTCTCGTTTGTAGGAGTTTTAATTTAAATCCTTGCAGATGACACTTCCTGATGACCTCGCCAAC